TCTCTCTCCCTCCCTCCCTCCCTCTCTCCCTCCCTCCCTCCTGGATTGGGTCTTGGAGTAGTTTGTTAAAAGGGCTGAGTGCAAAGAAGGGAGGAAATAATGAAAAAGGCAAACATTCAACAAACTGGTCTTATGGGTTCTGTAATTCTGTTGAATAACTTATCTTTTTCCTTTTTTTAACTTCAGGTTGTATTTAAAGGGTCACACTGGGACAGCAGGAAAACAGAGCAGCCTGATCTTACATGGTGCTGATTTCAGCACTAAAGATGCAGATAATGACAACTGTATGTGCAAATGTGCCCTCATGCTAACAGGAGGTAAGTCCTATGGGGCCATTCTCTAAGTTATGTTTCATTGGTTTGAGGCTTGAAGTTTCTTATCTATGAGAAAGGACTGTGATCTTCTGGTCAGGAAACTTAAGAGCAAGTCCCTAGAGATCATTTTGTTTTGCCCACTAATTTACCATGTGTTCTCGTGCAAGACATTGCTAGCATATTTATAAGTTTGCCTCCTCCCCCATTGTCTGTAAAGGGGGCATGCTAAGCTTGGTTCTGAAAAATTTCTTTAGCTTCTTAAAGTGCCAGTTATTCTACCTTCTAAATAATCATAATGATACCCATAGTGGAATGGGTAACAATTTGGGAATTCAGCATACACGGGAAAGCCAACAAAAAACAAAGAAACAAAAAAACCACCTTCTTACAAAGTATTTTGCAACTATGTAGTACAGTTCATTGACCATTCTATTGAAATGGAATAAGAAGAATAAAGAAGTGTACTGAGATCTAAAGTTATAAAATTCAGACCAGCAACACTAGGGCTTTTCAATGTATGGTATTGACTTCTGCAAGACATTTGAGCTGGTCTAACGGATACCATTAAATAATACTATATCACCGAGTAAGAAAGATAAATCCCTTTTTAACCTTCTCATTGTCTTTGAGTCTTCTGAATGTGTCAAAAGAGAAATTCTCAGTTTGGTGGTAGTGTATCTAGAATACTTCTTGAACACTTACTCGATAATCATTCAATAATCTTTAGAGCAAAGAAAGAAAAAACCCTTAGGCCTCAGGCTCAGGGCCTTGGTTAGACAATGGAACCTACCTAGAAGTGAATAAAGTGGTCTTGTTTTAATTGTATTGGGTTTTATATCTCCCTTTTATTGTAGCAAGTGGTACTGTTTTCTTCTTTAAAAGAATTATATAATCTTTGCATTTTTAAAGTATTCACAATATTTGATCTATAAAAATTATTGATTTAAAGAAAAAATTAAATATTAATAAGAATTATAAATGGATGATGGCAAAAATCTGTGAAGTTGATGCATGACTGGCTGAAGTTTGAGAAACATGTGACTGAAACCCAATGGCAAGCAAGGTAGCTCAAGTCAAGCTATAGGTTCTGGCAAGGAAGGAGTTGGCACCCAGCAAAACTGTAAAGGAAAACTTTTTTCCAGTGCTTCTCTTCTCACAGTTTTTTTGTTCTTTCTCTCTCTGAATGGAATAGCAGTCACTCCAACCCTCAGGTTTCCTGGTTCTCCTTCTGTGTTAATCTACAACAAACCATGTTTTCATTGACAGTAAGGAAAAAAAAAGCCTCGAAATCCATTATTATATATTAGTATATGTTATTGCATAGGTTGTACTCCCTTAGTTGAATGCCAAACCAGCTGTGTGAGATAAGCAGGGAGACAAACTCTATCTCCACTTTGTACATAAGGAAAATAAAAGCAAGTTAATGCTTACCATTTTATAGTTAACACCCAGCACAGTAGATGTGGCACACAGGAACTCAATTAAAAGTATGGTACATGAATAAATGAACATTTTGTAACCCTTGAAATCATGTTCAAATTTTGAAGCCAGTGGAATGGATCATTAGGTCGACACTTTGTCATCAGTTAACAGAGCATGGAAGAATAGGGAGGGGTGGTTTTACAGAAATCTTTCCACCTTCATCCATCCCCATGTCCTCCATTATTACCACCACCAAATCACATCCCATTGACCCCCCTCCACCACACTTACATTAACATCATTTCAACATGGGACCAACTCTAGTATTATCAAAGCCAACCTGTTACGATTCTTCTTCTATCATATCCTCCTCCTTAAACTTTAAAATGCTATTCTGGCGTCATATGCAACCTCATCAAATAGGTAAAAGTCCTCTATATGTAACTTTATGACCCCCTCCCCAAAACAGTTGTTAAAATTTAGAGTGGTACCCACAGGTTAGGTTTTAAACTGTTTTCCTGAAAGAAAAAAAAAATTTTCATTACTTCCCTGATCCCATAAATGGAATTGTCAACAACTTTATACAGAGACAAAAGGACTTTGATTGTCTAGTTTGCTGTTCATTTTAATATTGAAATGTGCTTCATTTTCTCCATGTCTATTTTTACAGATAGCTTTTCTTACCAAATAAATGCAATGCCTGAAAGAACAACAGTAAAATATTTCAAATGTTGCCTTAGAAGAGCATTCCAATGTGTTCATATTTCTGTCATAATAATGAGAAATATAGAGCTAAGCAAAGAGGAAAATGCACCTCTTGGTTGTTGGTGAGAAAATTTCATTGCTCAGATTTATGATTTTATTTCTGCTTCAAATGATTGAACTTTGTCATGTTCTTTCATCCATAATCATTCCTGGACCTGCTTCTTACTCACCAATAAACACATATGTTGGGGAGAGAAAATTTCCACTTATTGCTTGGGCTGGAATAGTCTAACTAAATGTGTTTTTGTAATAAACGCCATTACCCTATCAAATATCCTTTTGAAAGAATCCAGGCCTTGCAAACCTATTCACTCTGCAAAGCTAAAATGTGGAATTTAGATGGCTAAGAACTGGAGAGCATAAGGATGAATGTCAATGACAGTCCAGGTAACTTGAGTATTGCCTGGAACTTTAGGTCCTACTTAGCTACTCCCCACTACCAGTATTTATTCTGTCATAGTTTCCCTTAGAACCATTTTCTTCATCTAATGGTTTTTCCTTTCTTTTTTAGTTTGTATTTGAACTTGCTGCCTATTTTAAATAGTTTCCTTTAAGCAATAAGATTTTATAGTCTTTGAAGCTAATAATTCATAGTTTTCTGTCACCATCAATTAAAGTTTTATTTCATCTTGTTTATTTACAAAATTTTTCCTTTGTTTCTTCTGAAAGAAATTAAGGGTAGAGTAAGATTTATCGCCCACTAACTGTCCTAAATAGTTTTGTGCAAGTACATGCAGGGATTTGGGTTGGCGAATGTGGTATCGTTGCCACCTTTATATGACAGAGATTGAACAACGAGAGATGAGCTTAATTGAAAGCAGAAGGTATTTCAGTTAGGCATAAAGTAGAACATTTTGATCTTTCTTTATTCTTTCCCAATATCCTAACTTCTTAACTTTCTTCTATCAATTTAACATATTTTTAACAAGTAACTATTACAGATCAACTACTCTTAGAGAAATGAGCAAGACAGAATAGAACTTGAATCTATTGAGGGAGACCATCAACAAAAGAGTAAGCAATAAATAACAATTTCAAACCATAACCAGTTTCAGAGGCAAAATATAACGTGATGGAGTTGTTGGAGAAAGGGGAAGTAACTTTAGATGGAGTGTCCAGGGATCAAATGCTGCCAGGGAGGATTGTTCATTTCTAGTGGTGGACATCTTCAAGAAGAGAATATAAAGCTATTTTATCTAAAAGAGCTTACTTACGCATGTTCCTGCAGTTGAGGGTCTAGACAAGAAAGTCTCTACTTTCTTCTGGTTCTGTGATTCTATTATTCCATGTACTCACTGTGGCTGATGTAAGGAAAACCACGTGATATTATTTTTCAGTGCATGGGTTGTGATTCGTAGTATAGTGTAGAGTGGAAAGGAGGTGTAATGGGCTGAGAAAGTACATTTACATCAATAGAAATAGATACCACAATGCTTTATACCTCCTTTCCCAGAAGTATATGTACTTGTTTCTACCTTACCATAAAGCCAGCAATTTTTCCATCCAATGTAAACGTTGAAAGTTTTTCATGTTTTGTTACAGATTTCTTCTGGGACCAGAATATATATTTCAAGGTCAAAATTGCCCCATACAGTTACTTCTGTGCAACTGCCCTTTTAATTAATAGTTAAATAAAGGTGATTTATCAGCCCAGATTTATAAGCCAGAAATGTCTTTGTTCTATGATGGAACTGACCTTAGGAAAATTTGTAAGTTTTCTCCTTAGGTTTCCTCCTATATGTAGGATATTGTGAAAAATCCATATACTTCAGTATTGGGAGGGACTAAGTTAAGAGATGATTGTAGGCAATATTTTCAGTCCTGTAGGACAGTTCGTTTTGTGCCTTCCTGAGCCCAAAGAAAGGAATCAGTTTCTTTTAAACTTAACAGTTTTATCTACTATTTAACATTAAGAAAATGAAAATGTAATCTCATTCAATGCATGCTTTTGTTTTATAGGGATTTATTGTATATAAAAACAAATATGTAAAAATCTTCTGACTCCAGAATTCTGAAAAGGAACAACTTAGATTGTCACATTCAAAGCGAATATTACATTTCAAGAAAACGGGGTCTTTAGTACTAAATTAGCATTCTTCAAATAGTCTTTCTAAAAGACTATTAGAAGCTACAATTACTAAAGGTTGCTGACAAAACAAAACATGGTATTGTTTTACATTCTGTTCCTTACCTTACTTTTCTTTCAACACAGTTTCCACATTTAGTGTATAATATAAAAACTATGTAAAAATGTGACCTAACCTTCTACAGAAAGAATCTGTTGTGGTAGAAACTCTGATCTCTTTTCCCACGCATAAACTATGTCAGACGACAGACAAGACTTTGCTAAAGCTAACAAAGGATATTTCTCAGTTCAGCCCTTAAAAGACAGGATAAAGCCATACACATAAATTTCTTAGTACACCCTACAACTTCCCAGATGCTAACAGCAGAGTTGATAAATGCTTGCAGAAAGAGTTGATATTGCCTGCTATATAATCTTGAAGACAAAGAAAATGAAAGAAATTAGCAGCTTCTCCAACTGGCAAATGACGCTGAGTGACAAGATCTTTGGGAAAATATAATCATCTTAGAGTTTTTAATAATCCAGGAAGGATGTGCTAAGCATTGCCAGATAACTGGCATTCCCTAGGTTTTAAGGCAAAAATGTTGAGGGAAAAGATCCATATGGATAATTTAAGGTTGACCACAGAAATCTACATTGCATTACTTTATTTCAAAGCAATTTCTCATTTGTACATATCCAGTACACAAAATGTTCCACAAAATGTGTGTTGCAGAGACTCTGTGCTGTC